AGTGTAGAGGCATATGAATCTAGCGTACGCCAGCGTACAGCAGCGTTCCCGAGCGAAAGCAGAGTTTTGCTCAAGCTTAAACTGCCCGCGGAAACGCCGGCGTACGTCGACATACGCTGGTGGACGCTGGATCGATACCTATACTTTCCTAGTTGCTGGCGCTGGTGTACGTCAGCGTACGCTACGCAAAGTATGAACGGAGCCTTTTCCAATTTCAAGACGGCAACTTAGACAGAACACCCCGAGATGCTTTTCTTGATCACCAATACATACAATACATGTATGTCTCAGACCATGAACTAGCAGATACTCAATCCTCACACCCCCTCACCTCCATCCTCTCCTTAACATGTTCTTACCTCTTCATTGTCGGAAAACAAGCCAAGTGCAGACACGGCACGAGTGAGGTTCTCAAGGATGTTGACAGCTTCTGAGATGCGAGTCTAAATGAACAGTTTTTCTATTACGTCAAATAGTTTACTCATCTATCACAGCCTGCGCTCGAGACTCTAAATTCAACCTATTTGTCTCTTGCTTTAACTAATGGTGTAATAACTCTAGATAGAGCTAGGGTTTGTGAGTTAGCCGTAACACTGAGGCTGCATTCATACTTTGCGACGGGAGGGCAGGAGAATCGGCGATTTGACGTTTTGAGGATACGCGCGTTCTCCCGAGATGTCGAATCACCGATTATCCTATACTTCCGTTGCAAAGTATGAACGCAGCATGAAGCACTGTTGACAAAGTGCAGCTTAGCAAATCTGGCGCATCCGCGAAAAGTGTTGAATGTTTACCGACATACAGCATCGGCGATCCCACAAGGGTACGATCCCACAACCCACATTCTGCCTGCGAGGTGCGGCCGGCGGGCCCTATTACGTAAAGGGTAAGCCAATCAACGAAACGCGTGTGCGGTCGCCGAGCCCCTCGATCGATACGTATCCAGCGTGGTGGCACCGCATTCGCCCACGCAGTTCGCTGATTCTGTCCCTCGATACGTATCAAACCCGTTCCGCGGATGCGATTTTTCGCTGTTTCGTCACGAGCGTAGGCGATGAAAATACGCAGAAATGAGACCTATTGCAACGTTACCAGTCACAGCTGACAAACAGACAAAATACTTGCACAATTCCCCAGGATAAGCAACAAACCTGTAACTCAGTAGCAGAAAACCGACCACTCCCAATATCATTTATAACATTTTCTGCCTTTTTAAACTGTACACTGAGAGTCTCTTCATCATCAAAGTCGCCATGAGACTTACTTTCCGACATCTAAAATCTGCGTAATAATGAATAACAATAAAACCAACCACACATAATCGTTACGCATTACGCATTATATCATTTAGATGATTCAAGGTCCCCTTTATGCTGAGTTCTGGAAGCTGTTTGATGAGCAAGGGAGCAAGATCGATATGATTTTCGAAAATTCGACCGCAGAAGCTGCATTGTAATATAAGTGCCCAAGAATTTGAATGGTGAATTCGTTGAGCAATAGCCCAAGTTGGGCGTCTCATCCATTTTATGGTCTGTTCGCTGCGGATGATGGAGCGTGCTTTGCGTAGCTGCATTTGGCGGGCTGCCAAAACCGTTTTCCACCACTTGTTGAAGCGGGTAAGTGACAACAATTGGTGGGGACTGATACGAACGACATGATACAGTCTCATCTATTGAAAGAAAAAAATGGGTCAGCGCCGGGCCAAACGCAGTCGCGATGACACGCCCCATCATCCGCAGCGAACAACACCATAGTAAATAGTCGCAGGAGCTTCTCCCCCTCTCATTTCCATATTTACAAAAGTTACAGTAGTATTTCTGATAAACCAGCAAAACGTTAATTGAGGCCATGACAGAAACAAACAAGAAATCAGATGTCGAAACACTTGTTTAGATATTAGTTGGCTCGTTCTAACAGCGCGCGAATTTTTCGCGCGCGATGAGCGTCGGGAAGAAATGCTACACGCGTGCCGCATTCCGAATCGAGGACTATGCGTAAGTCACAAGAAGATGGTGAACGATGTGGTAGGAAGCGGTGTTAACTTTCTGATTCTGAGACGGCATTCTTTAAGACTATGACGCGCAAAGAATGAGCTGAAGGGGTAACGTTTCTAGGCTCACCAACATAACGATTTGATGTTTCTGTGTAAAACTTCACTATTTTCTCTGGTGTACATGTAATGGTAAACAAGTGCTGATCGTTCTACGATGTATTGATCGTTCCTCAGAGCCAAAAAATGAAATAAACCGAAGACAAGTGTTTTCACTACAGATCTAATTAGAGAAATTCAGAACACAAGTATAAGAATAAGGAGAAATAACAGAGCGCAAGCAGTCTAGAAATGCCGTCA